GCATCCAAGAAGCCCTGGGGTCAGAGATGAAGTTCTTGACATGGGCCTGTTGAGATGCAACACCTTGCTAGGCTGCAGCTACTTAAAACAAGTGGGAGCATGCATGGTTCAGGGGACCCTCCTATAGTTGGAGAATGGTGTGGGGCTGACAGGATTTGAAGTGGCCCCAGGGACATCCAATGTCCTGATTCTTGGTATGTTAGGAGGCAGTGCAAAGAGGAACCCTTTCATGGACTTCTTTATCTGAGCACAGGAGTTGTTAGGTAGAAGCATTCAATAACCATTTGTTGGGTGCATAAACTAATAAAGTAATTGAATGATAAAACAACATCACATGCAAAGGCATGGGATAAGAATGGGCAGTTAGCCTAGAGGTTAAGAGAGCCACATCCCTAATCGGAGTACACAATTTTTATTCCCAGCTCCAGATCATGACCCCAGCTTCCTGCAAATGCAGGCCCTGGCAAGCAGTGGTGATGGTCCAAGTCACTGGGTTCCTGCCACCCACAAGACAGACATGGATTCCATTCCCAGCTCCTGGCTTCAGCTCAGTCCAGCCCCAGCAATTGGGAGAAAGGGGTAAACCAGCAGATGGGAACTCTCTCTCTCTAGCTCTCAAATGACTTGAAGGGGAGAGGGACACGGGCATGGTGGGGGTGGCGGGAGAGAAAGAGACCTTCTATCCACTGGTTCACTTCCCAAGTGGCCACAATGGCTGGGGCTGGGCTAGGCTGAAGCCAAGAGCCAGGAACACTATCTGGGTCTCCCACATGGGTGAAGGGGGCCCAAGGACTTGAGCCATCCACTGCTGTTTCCCAGGTACATCAGCAGGGATCTGGAGCAAAAGCAGAGCAGCCAAGACTTGAACTGGTGCTCTTAAGGGATGCAGTGGCTTAACCTGTTGTGTCAAAATGCCAGCCCCTGTCAAATGAATCTCTAAAAAAATTTAAAGGCCTGAAAAATATGGATTTTTGGGACTGGCACTATGGTATACCAGGTAAAGCCATCACCTATAGCACCGGCATTGCATATGGGTACTGGTTCAAGTTCCATTTGCTCCCTTCCAATTCAGCTCCCTGCTAATGTGCCTGGGAAAGCAGCAGAAGATGGTCCAAGTGCTTGGGTCCCTGCACCCATGTGGGAGATCTGGAAGAAACTCCCAGCTCCTGGATTCAGCCTGGCTCAGCCCTGGCAGTTGCAGCCATTTGGGGAGTGAACCAATGGATGGAAGACCTCTCTCTCTCTCTCTCTGTTCCCACCCCATCCCCCAACTCTTAAAAAAAATGTTCTTAAAGATGTGTCAGGGCTTAGAAATTAGAGAAGTTATCAGGAGATGGAGACTAAAGTAGGTCCACTTCCTCAGAAGGTGAGAGATTCTGCGGCAAGAAACCAAGGCTGGAGAGATGGGTGGGGCTGCAGGGCCCAGTCTCTTGCCTACACGTGGAGGAAGACCCTCAGTCTCTGCCCGCACTTTCAGCCCCTCGTCTCCTGGAGGTGGGGGGTGAATCAGCAGGCAAATGCCAAGATGTCTGCTAGCCCCGTCTGAGCATGGCGTGGCTGTTTCATGCAAAGGACAAAACAGAGAGACAGGAACGGAGGCGGGAGAGGAAGAGAGATGGTGGAGAAGGGGGAAGGGAGGTTGAGGGAGAAGGAAGAGGGAGAGCGAGGAGGAGGAGGAGGAGGAGGGAGAGGGAGGAGGAGGAACAGGAGGAAGAAGTGAGAGAGATTTTTTAAAGTGGGTTCATTTGTGGCAAAAAGCCACAGTTTCATCATTAACAGGCCTTTATTCTGCATAAAAGGACTGGGCTCAGTGGGGAGCAGTAACCTCAAACTTGGCAGAGGAAATGAAGGCAGCAAATCCAAGAAACTGGGGCCATCTGGGTAATGGAATGGCTTGGGCTGCGACACACACGCCCCCGCCTCGTGAGACAGGCTGCGAGCCGCGGGGTCCCAGGAGAGCCACCACGTCACACCGTTAGCACCACGAGCATGTGCACCGTTAAGTGCAGCAGCATCAGGGTCCATCTTTTTCCTTTCAGGGAAAAACAAGAAAAATCGGAATCTTCCTTTTTAACCACATGACTACCAATGAGAGAGACCAAAAGAATGTTTGAGATAGATCATAAGTGTCATCTTGATTGAGATTGATCTTCCCCAAATTTTCAACCCCTGTGTGGACTTTCTCACTTGTATGGACACATACTGGAGGTAGACACGAAGGGATGCCTCCTTCCAGGATCTGTTATTTCCCTTTTGTGACCTTCATTTTGAACAATCACGTGTAGAAATAAGCAACTTAAAATTAAGCACTCCTTTTCAAAGCTCAGAGGGCTGGATGAGCGAAAGGCCCTCTCATCCCAGTTTGAACTGTAAAAGAAGAGTGATGTAATCTCTCACGTCTCTTCTCTCAATGAATGGATGAGAATATAGTTGCACTTCTAAAATATCCCAAAGTCAGCTTTCAAAGGTGAAGCAAGAGTCTGTTCTTTAAAATGCAAACAAATACGAAAGGGATGGGCACTACCGAGGGCGCAGTACGATATAAAAATGGAGGTTTGGGCCCAGCTGAGGTCCCAAATAAGGATGCTGGTTGCTAGGTAGGTGATGCTGAGACGGAACCCCTACCATGTAAAAGCAGGGCCCAGCCTCTCTCCTGGCTTCCTTCGTGTCCTTGCCCGGCCTTTAACAAAGGGAATTCACTGAGTTGCGGGAGCGGCACAGCTGGTCCACAACGTTCTAATCACCAGACTCGGGCAGTCATTTGCTTCTCCAATAGATAAAACCCTGTCCCCTGGTGTTGTCCTGAGGTGTTTCGTTAGAGGAACTCCAGGCCCAGGCAAAGATATTCCAGCCCTGGGGCAGAAGGTGCCTACTCCCCGACCAGACCACCTGCAGCTCACTTGGAATTCCCTAAAGCCCATGGCAACATCTATCAATCAAAAGAAGGTCATGAGTTGGGGCCGGTGCTGTGGCGAAGTGGGTTAACGCCCTGGCCTAAAGCACTGGCATCCCATATGGGCACCGGTTCGAGTCCCAGTTGCTCCACTTTCAATCCAGCTCTCTGCTATGGCCTAGGAAAGCAGTGGAAGATGGCCCAAGTCCTCAGGCCCCTGAACCCACGTGGGAGAACTGGAAGAAGCTCCTGGCTCCTGGCTTCAGATTGGCGCAGCTCTGGCCATGGCGGCCAATTGGGGAGTGAACTATCAGATGGAAGCCCTCTCTCTCTCTCTCTCTCTCTGCCTCTCCTTCCTCTGTGTAACTCTGACTTTCAAATAATAAAAATAAATCTTTTAAAAAAAAAAGAAGGTCATGAGCTCCACTCACCAATTGGGCACTTGGATGCTAGCTGATCATGCACCTCTCAGCCCCATTTCTGTTTTTAAATATTTATTTATTTATTTGAGTTACAGAGAGGGGGAGAGAGAGAGAGAGAGAGAGAGAGAGGTCTTCCATCTGCTGGTTCACTCCTCAAATGGCCGCAATGTCTGGAGCTGGGCCGATCTGAAGCCAGGAGCCAGGAGCCAGGAGCCAGGAGCTTCTTCCAGGTCTCCCACGTGGGTGTAGGGGCCCAAGGACTTGGGCCATCTTCTACTGCTTTCCCAGGCCATAGCAGAGAGCTGGATCAGAGGTGGAGCAGCCAGGATATGAACTAGGGCCCATATGGGATGTTAGCACTGCAGGCAGCAACTTCACCCACTATGCCACAGCACTGGCCCCTCAGCCCCAATTTCATTCTATAAGAACCTTTGACCTTAACTCCTCAAGGAGCCCAAGAATTAAGCTATAGCTGCCTGGCTCCTGGCTCTGCACTTTGCAATAAAGGTGTGCTTTCTTCCACCTCCCCAATGTCAACAGTTGGCTTTCTGCACGTTGGGTGAGTGGACTTGGTTTGCGGATTCTATAGTTTGGGGTGCTGTTCAGCAACGATGAGAAACTTTATCCTCCACTGACCTCAAAGGCCAGAATATGTGGAGACTGCAGGCTTTGTGCAGAGCTGTTTAGAGAGAGATCTTGATGCAAGGAGACACGTGTCCTCAACTCAGGCTGCTGACAGGGGTATGAGGCGACCACACACGGAGCTGGGCCACGTCCCAGGCACAGGCGCCAAGGCAACTGGGGTCTGATTACCACTTGAGAATCTGAAAGGGAACAATGCAGTGGCTCGGCCCTTTGTTAATGTGGGAAGAAGTGACTGTGGAGGAGGCTGTACCCCAAGAATTCTGGGGTGAAGCAGCATGTATGAATGCTTTCTGTGGACCAGAAAGGGGTTGTGTCTATGAAAAAGCCAATTGTGGGTCATATCCAAGAAGGATCTGGAAGGGCACAAAGCTGCAGAGGTTGCTGTGGGCAAAGCACTAACAGTGAACGGGCTGAAAACCACCCCCTACAAGGAGGGAACTGGCAAAAGGAGCTGCCCACTTGCAGGGTGCTGGGAGGAAGACCTCTGAGGAACCCCACTTGTCTTCCGAAAGAGAAAGAGTCAGCCTTGAACATCTGTCAGGACCACAGAGCCAAAGGCAACTCACAACAGCGACCATTTAATCACCCGTCCCTTTGTCTCCCTGTTAACCTCCACGCAAAGCAGTCACGCTGTGGGTGTCAGGAACCATGGCGAGCACACTGGAGGGGCTTGGGTGAGCACACTGGAGGGCTTGGGCAGGTGCACAGCACTGGATGGGGAAGGAGAGGAAGACCCGCTCTCTAGGCTCCTTCCTTAGCTGCAGGGTCCCCACCTTACTGGGTGAGGGCAGACGCCTCTAATTCTATCAAGTTGGAGTTTGGAATACTGCAGAGGTATGGACACGGCCACTGTCATGTTGAGATGATGATATTATAGGACTGCCTGAGTTTTTACCTGGGGACAGGAACAAAATAGCCCCACTGAATACATTTAAAGGAATACTGACAGGCAAAATAAAATGATTACATGATGGTACCCCATGAAACAATCACATGTGTTCAATGTACAAGTTATACATGTTCAGGAACCAGAAATGAAATTTTTTTTGGTATAAAATAACTTTTATTTACATAATTTATATCTATAGAACATAATGCTTTCTTTAGAACAAGAAAATTTACAAATGACAGATACTGCTTTTTTTTGTCAAATACTTCTTCAAGCAAGATAATATACATGGTCACTTCTAATTCAAATAACATGGTGGTAAACAGTGGATATTAACATTTTTATCTGAGTCTCAACCATTTACCAACAATTAGGCCCTGAAACCATCATGTTGATCACTTTCTAAAGACATCAATGTTCAGAAGGAAAAATCAAGAAAAGATAAATCCCTTCAATCACATCTCCTTTAAGATTTATAAAATCAATTCTTTGCAACATCTTCTTACATTAATCAGACTCAGCATAGGTCTTTCCATCTTACAAGATAAATACACTGATTATGTTTCTCTTTGCCCAAGATCCATTTTAAGAAAAACTAGGATAATTTAGTTGGCCAACTTTATTCTCTAATAAAAGGAATGCCTTCTGTATTCTTTGTACAGTAATTTTATCTTCCATAAAATTATTTTACTGTAGATGAGCAGGAATAGATGTGGACAAAGTTAAAAAATAAATATTATACAGGGATAACAGTCATGGACATCTAATACTCAACATTAATTAAGAGAAGGAAGCCTTTTCAGAATATGAGATTGTTTAGAATTTACAAAAACAAGTTATAAAATAGCAATGTGGTTTACTCCATGATTTTTGTAACATATTAATCACACAAAATAAATAAATGCATATCTATAGAGAATCTCCCAGTTTATACATCTTCTCTTGTGACAAAAAGTTACTGTAAATTTTACTATAAGGCAATGAATACGAAAGCTCTTACAGCAATCATTTCAACAGATTAGCTTTACTGTTACACTTGCTGAGCCACACTCCTTCTTACTAAGGAGCCTGAAAACTGGCTACCAGTGTTTCAACATATAGACACAATTATCTGGACTTTAAAATATCTTCCCAATAAAAATCTGATCAGTTCATAATGCAATCCACACATCAGACTTTTAGGCACAAGTCATGATCAGAAATGAAATTTTGAAAAATACGATGTTTCCTGAGTTACCTCTATTATTAATTCAATTACTTTTTTTCAAATGATGAAAGCAGACTCAGTATTTGGAAAATACAGAGGTGGGCATTGTGATGCAAAGGTTAAGTCATTGCTTGGAACACCTGGGTCCCACATGGGAGTGCTGATCAAGTCTCAGCCACTCTGCTTCCTATCCAGCTTCCTGCTGATGCTCCTGGGAAAGAAACAGATGATGGCCCAAATGCTTGGGTCCCTGCCATCATGTGGGAGGCCCAGGTAGAGTTCTTGGCTCCTGGCTTTCTCAGCCTGGTCCAGCCTGGACTGTTGTAGGCATTTAAGGAATAAACCAGAGGATGAAAGATCAATTTCTTTCCGTCTCTCTGACTTTCTCTCTCTCTCTCTCTCTCTCTCTCTCTCTCTCTCTCTCTCTCCCTCATCGTGTCTCTGTCAGTACATCTTTCAAATCAATATAAATAAATAAATGAATCTCTTTAAAACAAGAAAATACATAAAATATTAAAAGAAAGTGTGAAAACACATGCACAATCCTAGCATTATTTTTCCTTAAAGCATGAATAGAAAATGTGGTTCCATCTGTGGAGATAAAACAATACCAAGATGATCCAAGTGGGGGCTGGCGCTGTGGTGCAGCAGGTTAGGTTGTGGGCTACAATGCCAGTATCCCATGTGAACGCCAGTTTGAGTCCTGGCTGCTTCAGTTCTGATCCTGCTCCCTGCTAACGTGCCTGGGAAAGCAGTGGAAGATGACTCAAGTGCTTGGGTCCCTGATGGAGTGCCTTTGTGGGGTGAACCTGCAGGCGAGGAAGATTCCTCTGGCCCTGCACTCTCCCCCACCTAACTCTGCCTGTTAAATAAATAAAATCAATGATATTTTTAAAAAAGAAAAGTTGCAAGTATTATTTTTAAGTAGTGTAATTATGACTGTTTCCCCTCTCAGTTGCCTGGATGTGAAAACCAATTGCTCTAATTGTGGACTCCTTCACTCACTACCCACACCTTCACCTTCCCTCTCAACCTGCCCTCCCTCCATCCCCACTCATTAATTTGGTTACGTCAGAGCCGCCATGTTCTTATATGACATCACTGCCTTTGTGGTTTGTCATTGGTCTAAAGACAGAACACCAATCAACTCTGGTCAGCTTGCCACGCCAATGAGGAGCCTTTCCTGTGACGCTGGAAATAGACCAGAGATGTAAGTTTAGGTTCTTTCTTTCGGAGAGCTATGGAGGACAAAGTCATTTCCTCTTCTTGGAACAGGAGACGGAGAGGGATATGATAACAAGAGATTTAAAAGTGAAACTGACACCCCAGCAAAGTGTGAGTGAAAGGCTGGAGAAACTCCTGCTGGTGTTTGAGTCTCTGTCCCCAAGCCAGTCCACGGTGGACTTGCATTTCTCTTTTTGGTTTCTAGATGATGTGCTCACATCCTAAAACCAAATTTCCCCTTTTGGTAAAGTTTGGGACTTTTGAATTTCTATAATTTTTTGAAAATGTGGAACTATCCTTATTTACAAAAGGGATCTGTGTCCACTCTTAGGGGACACAGATAGAAGTACATGGAATGTTTGCTTTCCATTCTACCCCTACATGCACATTTTGTGTGTGGTTAAAATAACAGTATTAGAAGGGGAAGAAAGATCACAAGACAATAGCTGGAGAGTATGTGTGTGGTTGGGTGTGTTTGTGTGTGGGGGTGACAGATTCAATCCTAGTCTCTGTTTTTGGCTAAAGTCATCACTGATTTGCAGGCCTTTTGGAATAAGCTGTGGAGTCCTGTCCTCCCTCCATTGCATCTTGCTGTTTAAGCTAAAGGAAGGAGATACAAGAAGTGTGGTCCAGCCCCAGTGGCCCATCGGTGATGGCTTGGTCTGATTGTTGTACTTACATCTTGAAGGCTCTGCTTAGGGTCAGTGTAGTAGGTCGCGATGGGTTGCCTGCCTGTCCTGGAACTCCTCATGTGAATTAGTCATTACCAGTATCTCAGACAGGTGGGGATGGCCAGGTGTCCGCGTTTCCATCACATGACTCTCGTCTCCCTAAAGCCACAGCTCCTGTTATATGGGGATGAATACTGGGCCCCGCTGAATTAGTCAGATTCTCCCTTTGGGAGACTTTGTGTGGTTGGTTTGAGGCACTGGCACTGGGAGAGGTCACCCAGAATCTGGACTAAGGAGACCACTTCTGTCATGCTCATCCCACATCAGAGAAAGCAAGTCTGCGGGTACAGATCAGTGAAGCAAATGAGCAAGAAACGCTGAAAAGAGAGATCGCCGGCTCCGTAGAGGGGACTTGTGCCCTGTGGTCTCCACGTGTCCGTTTACCCAGGCTGCCAGAGCGTAGTGGCGCAGACCAGGGTGGCTTCCGGGGATGTGTCTTCTCAGAGTCCCGGGAACTGCAAGCCTGAGATCACAGTGTGGCAGGGCTGTGTCCTCACGACACCTCTCTCTGCTGGGCTTGCTAATGGCCACCTTCTCCCTGCGTCTTCGCAAGGCCGTTCTGTAACCGTGTCTATGTCCTAACCCCTCCGGGTAAGGTCAGTCATTGAATGACAGCCACCTGTAGGGCCTCGTCTTGTCTGAATTACCTCTTTAAAGGCCTGATGTCCAGAGACAGTCACACTGATGCTTGGGGCAGGGAAGAAGATAGCATAGATCATAGCACATCATTTCTGACCGTCCAATTCCTGATTGCAGCACCTCACGGCGCCCGGTTATACCTCCCATACCGGGGATATGAGAAAAATTCTAACTTCAGACTTGTGATAACTTGAGTAGATTGCTGCTCCTTCTAGACAGTTCCTGACAAAGGTAATGACTCTTCTGTCAAAAGTCACTCTGATATTCTTAGAATCTGAGGTCCAGCAATGTTAATATTGCCTTTACACATGAATTTTCAGCAGCTATAATTTCCAGTTAATTCTTTTCAGTTTTCATTTTGAACAGGGCTCAGTCTCCTCAAAGCTTCTTCTTGTTCCAATTAAAACTCATATTCAGGCTTCCCCATAATGCGCCAAATCGAAAATGCCAGCATTAGCATTTCTACCACCCTGAAGGCCGTCTGCACAAGCATTTTGGAATCACCCTGTGGTTGCCACTTTCTGAATTTTTCTATGTTAGATGTACTCTCTTGGATAGGTGTTTGATTTCTATCAAGGAAAATAGAGGCTAATATTTGGATAGAAGAAATGAAAAATATAATAAGTAAGCTAGAGAACCAATAGGGTCATAGTTGCACTCAATAATCTTATCAATTAACTTGATAATACATAGACTACTTGATCCAATAACAGCAGAATATCATTCTTCTCAAACTCATACAGTGCAAACATGATCCAGATAAATCACACTCTGGATCATAAAACACACTTTAACAATTAAAAAAAAAAAGAAATCATAAAATGTCTGCTCTCAGACTACAGTGGAATTAAACTGGAAATCAGTAACAGATAGTAGGGCCGGCACTGTGGTGTAGTGGGGGAAACCACCGCCTGCAGTGCCAGAATCCCATATGGATACCAGTTCGAGTCCCAGCTGCTCCACTTCCTATCCAGCTCTCTGCTATGGCCTGCGGAAGCAGTAGAAGATCGCCAAGTCCTTGTGCCCCTGCACCCGCGTGGGAGACCCAGAAGAAGCTCCTGGCTCCTGACTCCTGGCTTTGAATCAGCGCAACTCCAGCAGTTGCGGGCATCTGGGGAATGAACCAGCAGATAGAAGACCTCTCTCTCTCTCTCTCTTTCTCTCTCTCTCTGCCTCTCTGTAACTCTGCCTTTCAAATAAATAAATCTTTAAAAAAAAAAAACAGATAGTTGGAAAATCCCCCAAATAATTAGAAATTAAATAATATACTTTTAAAAAATACCTGGGGGCTGGCTCTGTGTCGTAGTAGGTAAGGCTGCCAACTGCAGTGCAGGCATCCCATATGGGCACTGCCTCAAGTCCCAGCTGCTCCACTTCTGATCCAGCTCTCTGCTATGGCCTGGGAAAGCAGTGGAAGATGGCCCAAGTCCCTGGGCCCCTGCACCCGTGTGGGAGACCCAGAAGAATCTTCTGGCTCCTGGCTTTGGATCGCTGCACGTCTGGCCGTTGCAGCCATCTGGGGAGTGAACCATCAGATGGAAGACCTCAATCTCTCTCTCTCTCTCTCTCTCTCTCTCTCTGCCTCTCTGTGACACTGGCTTTCAAATAAAAAAATAAGTCTCTAAAAGAGAGAGAGAGAGAGAGCGAGAGAGAGAAAGCCAGCCAGCCTCAGGCGTTTCATGATAGTAATGGAAAACAGACCAATACGAGAAGACTTGACATTGTCAAGAGGTGAGTCCTTCCCAGCTTCATCCATAGCTTCCAGACAATTCCAATCCAAACTCCAGCAACTTATTTTATGAATACTGACAAACTGACTCTACATGGAGACGCAAAAGAGCTAGAAGAGCCAACACCATGCTGAAGAAGAACATAGTTGGAGACTGACAGTACCTGACTTCAAAACTTGCCATAAAGTGGGGCTGACATCACAGTGCAGCGCTTTAAGCTGCTGCCTGTGACACAAGCATCCCGTATGAGCATGGGTTTGAGTCTCAGCTGCTCCACTGGGGATGAGACTGGGAAAGCAACAGAAGATGGCCTGAGTTCTTGGGCCCCTGCACTCACGTGGGAGACCCAGAAGAAGCTCCTGGCTCCTGGCTTTGGATTGGCACAGCTCTGGCCATTGCAGCCATTTGGGGGGTGAACCAGCAGATGGAAGATCTCTCACTCTCTCTCTCTCTGTAACTCTGCCTGTCAAATGATTAAATAAATATTTTTTAAAGATTTTATTTATTTGACAGGTAGAGTTACAGACAGTGAGAGAGAGAGACAGAGAGAAAGGTCTTCTTTCCGTTGGTTCACCCCCAAATGGCCACTACAGCCAGAGCGCCGTGCTGATCCGAAGCCAGGAGCCAGGAGCTTCTTCCAGGTCTTCCACGTGGGTGCAGGGGCCCAAGGACTTGGGCTTCTTCTACTGCCTTCCCGGGCCACAGCAGAGAGCTGGATTGGAAGAGGAGGAACCAGGACTAGAGCCAGCACCCATATGGGATGCCGGCAATGCAGGCAGAGGATTAACCTAGTGTGCCACAGCGCCGACCCCTAAAAAAATTACTTATTTGAAAAGCAGGGGAAATATAGCAGTGAAACTGTGTCTCTCCAGTGCTTGGGGCCTTTCACGGTTTTGTTCTGTTTTGTTTTTAAACATTTTTATTCTATTTATTTTTGAAACAGTTATAGTAATAGAGGGAGAGACAGAGACAGACAGACACACACACACACACACACACAGAGATCTTCCATCCACTGGTTCACTCCTCAAATGGTCACAACAGCCAGTGCTGGGTCAGACTTCAGACTGAAGCCAGGAGTCAGGAACTTCATCTGGGTCTTCCCCAAGGGTTTAAGGTTCAAACACTGCTTTTCCCAAGCCATTAGCAGGGAGCTAGATCAGAAATGAAGCAGCCGAAACATGAGTCAGTGCCCATAGAGGATGCAGGCGTCGCAGCTGGTAGCATTATCCAATTTGCCACAATGCTGTCCCCCATGGCTTCTCAGGGTTCTGATCCACCCTGGGGCATCACAGACATAATAACAACAATTGCTGAGGGGCCTGGCCATCCTTAACTCAGTGTTTCTGGACCTTCCTTACAAGTGTATTGACGGGGGCCGGCGCTGCGGCACAGCAGGTTAAAGCCCTGGCCTGCAGTGCTGGCATCCCATATGGGTACCAGTTCGAGTCCTGGCTGCTCCATTTCTGATCTGGCTCTCTGCTATGGCCTGGGAAAGCAGTGGAAGATGGCCCAAGTCCATGGGCCCCTGCACCCACGTGGGAGACCCGGAAGAAGCTCCTGGCCCTTGGCTTTGGATCGGCGCAGCTCCGGCCGTTGCAGCCATATGGGGAGTGAACCAGCGGATGGAAGACCTTTCTCTCTGTCTCTACCTTTCTCTGTAACTCTGTCAGTCAAACCAATAAAATAAATATTGAAAAAAAAAAAGTGTATTGACAACCACCTGCCACGGTCTCTTCTTTGAGGAAGGGCAGTCCTCCACCTGCTCAGAGCTGCACCTTCAGCCTCCTGGAACTATATCCTCCCACTTCTGGGATTTTATTCTCAAGGCCCCTGTCTCTTCTTGTGCCTTCTCTGTCCATCACACTTCCCTCTATGTCAGGTGTATCTGAGTGGCCATGCCTAATGGGAAATTAAACTGGGGATTCTTTTAATTTGGGCTTAATAAGACATGGTTCTTATAATTCACCATCACTTCTATTTACAGCCAATGTATTGCTAATAATTCTAGGTAGGAATGAGCTTTCTGCCCACTGTGCCGACTGACCCAAGTTCTATGGTTTGGCTGTGGTTTGAGTGCCCTCCCACGATTCACGAGCTGGAAACTTGGTCAGCCGTGTGGCAGTGCTGAGAAGTGATTGGGTCTCGAAAGGTGGGGCCTGGTAGGGAATTTTGGGTTCTGCCCTCATGGATACCAGTTAGCTCCTGTGAGAGGGAGTTGTTGTAAAAAGGACAAGCCTGGCCCCAAATTCCTCTACATGCTGTCTCACCGGTGATCTCTGCTGCACGTGGGCATACCACTGCCAAGAGGGCCTCACCAGAGAGGTGGAGCCGCTCAACCCTGGAGTCCCAGCCTCCAACACCGTGAGCTGCATAAACCTCTTTTCTTTGCAAAGTATTCAGCTCAGGTATTTGCTTACAGCAGCAGACAATAGACTAAGACACCAGGGTTGTGACACAAAAGTCGTGTTCCAAGGCACGTGGAGCCAGAAATCAGAAGCATAATTCGTCCATGGAGAATCAGTCCTCAACAATGCCTGGGCAAGTGGGACTCTGTCCTGGAAGAGATGCAGTTAATGACAAAGCATAGGAACCTTACATTTTGTTTCCTGGTGGGATGTAAATGGGTCAAAAGAATCAATCAGAACTGTGTTTGCAGGCACAGGCCTACAGCAGAGTGACAGCAGGGACTACGTCTGGATTTGAAGGTGTGGGTTTTATACATTCCAACTATCAACCACAAAAACATAAATTCCAATCAACCACATAAAGGAAATGCTGCAGGGCCGGCGTTGTGGTGCAGCAGGTTTGGCCACATGGCCAATTTACCGGCATTCTGTGTGTCAGTTCAGTTTGAGTCCTAGCTGCTGCATATAGCTCCCTGCTGAGGTGCCAGGGGAGACAGCAGAGGTAGCTCCAAGTGCTTGGGCCCCACCACCCATATAGGAGACCTGGATGGACTTTCGGTCTCCTGGCTTTGGACTGCCAAAGCCCCAGTGGTTGTGACCTTAAAAGAGTGCATTTTTGTCATCACTATATAAGGTGTTGTCACAAAGTCACTGTCCAACAAGCAAATGTATGCAGGCAAGAAATGTAGGCAAAATTATACAAATGGTCCAGGCCTGTTAACAAAAACAGCAAGTTGGCAAATTATGTTTAGAACAATTAGTAGCTCTTTCGAACTTGTAAGTTATTTTATCACTTGAAATATACATTCACTTCCTAGCTCATTTTTCTTGGGAGATAGTTCTTCAGGGCTCTCTGCTGTTCCTGCATGTCTCCTAGGCTGGGGCTCTGACAGCTTCTTCCAGCTTTTGCATCTTTTCTGGTATGTTTGTACTTTCTTGTGAACAGTCTTGGAAAATGGAGATGTTTTTTCCCATGGAGACGCAGAAGGTGCTTGCTAACAGGTACAATCGGGGTAACATCTCCCTTGTGGGCGAACACTGGGCAAGTTGGCATTATAGTCCCTTTAAGGGGGGGAGGGGGGTTTCCTGGGGCGGGAGCTGTGGCGTAGTAGGTTAATCTCTGCCTGCAATACCGGCATCCCTTATGAGCACTGGTTCAAGTCCCAGCTCCTCCACTTCCAGTCCAGCTCTCCGCTATGGCCTGGGAAAGCAGTAGAAGATGGTCCAAGTGTTTGGGCCCCTACACCCATGTGGGAGACCAGGAGGAAGCACCTGGCTCCTGGCTTCAGATCTGCGTAGTTCCAGCCATTGCGGCCATTTTGGGAGTGAACCAATGGAAGGAAGACCTTTCTCTCTGTCTCTCCCTCTCACTGTCTGTAACTCTACCTCTCAAATAAAATAAATAAAATCTTAAAAAAAAAAAAGAGGGGGTTTCCTGGGGCCAGCATTGTGGTGGAGCAGGTGAGGCCACAGCCTGAGATGCCAGCATCTCATAGGGGCACTAGTTCATGTCCTGGTTGCTCCACTTCCAACCCAACTCCCTGCTAATGGCTGGAAAGTGGTGGAAGATGGCCCAAGTAACAGGGCCCCTGCACCCACATGAGAGACCCAGAGGAAGCTCCTGGCTTCTGGATTTGGTCTGACCTAACCCGGGGTTGTTGCAGTCTTTTGGGGAGTGAACCAACAAATGGAAGACCTCTCTCTCTCTCTCTCTCTCTCTCTATCTCCTGCTCTCTCTGTAAATCTTTCAAATAAATAAATCTTAAAAAAAAAAAAAAAACAACAACAACTGGGGTTTGCTAAGCTTCAGGTTCCTCAGCTGTGATGCAAACCCACTGTGAGTGCCCATCCTCCTGGGCCTGTCCCACATGACCCCTATGGACTCACGCTACTTGCTTTGCTGTCATTATCAAGCAAAGCAAAATGCATTGTGGCATCAACGGATGGAGAGCTGCTTGCTTCTCCAGCCCTCACTCTGCCTGCATTCCTCAATCCAGTGTGAGCTTTAACTACAGGCAAGGTTCTAAAAAGCAGACATTTCAGCTACCACAGTTTAGTGAATGCCATCAGTTCCCCAATAGCTCAGAGTTCAGCTGCCCTGGCATATTAACCAAGAGTCACTGCAGAAAGTGCAGACTTCAAGCCAGCTCTTCTGTCCACAGATCACTACACAGGTAAATAACATGTGCATCATGCTCAGTGACCTGTCGTGTCTGTTGGGGACACTCTGAAGAACAAGTGGATTCCCACCAAAATTAGGTTTGGACGTCAAGATGGATGATACTGCACATGTACTTGTTATTTACATAGTCAGTACTTTCTAGGGGAGAACTGGACAGCGCTTCCTGAGCTGGTTTGAAAATGGCTTGAGAACAGAGGAGACTGCACGGGCAGAGGTTTGCATGGTCTGACTCTCTCATCAGCATCAAAGGAGGCAGCGCCTGGGCAGTTTGTCCAGATGAAAGAGAGAAAGGGAAAAGGGAGAGGTAAGACCTGAAAGACACCAGCTCAGAGCGGGAGTTGAGCTTAGCAATTAAGACAGTGATTAGGATGGCTAAGGTCCACACTGGATTGTCCATTTTTCATACTTGGCTCTGGCTTCTGACTCCAGCGTCCCATTAATGAAGACTCTGGGAGGCAGCAGTGATGCTTCAAGAAACTGGATTTCTGACACCGGTCTTGGAGATCTGGATGGCATTCCTAGCTCCCCTTTCTGGCTCCAACAGAGCCCCAGCAGTTGTGGGTATGTGGGGAGTGAACTAGTGGATGAAAACTCTTTGTCTCTCTCTCTCTTAAATAAATAAATAAATCTTAAAATAATAGAGAAGTCAGAGGCCGATGTTGTGGTGCAGCAGGTTAAGCCACTTGCAAAGCCTTTATCTCATGTCAACGTTATGGTTCAAGTCCTAGCTATTCTATTTCCAATGAAGCATCCTTCTGATGTGCCTGGGAAGGTGACAGAAGATGGCTCAAATGCTTGGGCCCCTGCCACTCATATAGGAGACCAGAAGGGAGTTCCAAGCTCTTGGCTTTAGCCTGGCCAAGAGCTGGCTGCTTGGTGAGTGAACCAACAGATGGAAGATCTCTGTCTATATGTGTTATCTTCCTCTCTCTCTGATGT